CGGGGTATTTAGGTTTATTAAAATTTAGTATATGGTAGAATCTCGTCGCTTTACTAGAAGCTAGTCTTGATTTATAAGTTAGTTGACTAAGTTAATGAAAGATAAATTAAAGAAATTTAATTTATCTACTTCCTATCATTAAGATTTCTAACTTGTACTTATTACTAACATAGTAGAGACTCTAATGAATCACACACATTATCAACTTTCACGTATCACATGAAGTCTTGGAAGAAACTCACTGCCACAACATTTTTAAACATACCCAAAATAAAAGGATAAACACATCCCATCAAATTGGAGAGCACTATCATCTACAGACTGACACCATTACTTTGACAAAAAAAACTATTAAAATTTTAGTAGTTTCAGAATTGAATTTGTTATTTGATGACTTAATTAGGATAAGAATTGGTCCTAGGTTTTCGAAATAAAGTTTGTTTAGGAATTGGTTAGTTGGTGTATATGCCGAAGTCCTATGTAGTAATCGAGCAAACAGTCCGAATAGTTTGACTTATTAGAATTGCTCGTGCCTTCTCGCTCTCACTCGAAGTTAGTTGGCCTTGGACTTTCCGTTGAGTGATTTTTTGTACTAACAAGTCATACTAGAGTCCTAACTGAAAGGATTGATCTTGGGTGTGTGAGGTGCCTATGTCATAGTAAGGTTAAAATAAGTTCTTTTCAAAATTTTATACCTGATATTAAAATATTTCACTGGTTGGTTGGAGGCATGTACATTTTTTTTTAAACCATAAAAAATGTATTATTAAAAGGAATCCAAAATGCATAGAGAGAGACCTCTCCCAGCCTGCGTGCCCAAGCAGCCAAAGTTACCCTTTATATCTACCCCTACGGAAACTAGGACTACCCCACCTATCCAAAGTAACATCTCCTCTAACCATACGGGGAAGGTCAAGGACGGAGTCATATACTACTGACTCCCCAAAATCAGCCCCAAGCTTAGCAAGCCTATCCACTGGTTTATTCGCTTCTCGGAAACAGTGTGATAGCTTGGTGTAGAGATGACTATACCACGCCAATTCTTGTAACTCCTTCTGCACCACCCACGGACACTTGGCTCTCCCCTGCAAAATCTGGATAAGAACTAACGAGTCAAACTCCACATGAAAATTGGCCAATCCTCGTGCGACACCTAACCGTACCCCATGAAGCAACGCTTTCACCTTCGCTTGTAAGCTGGTCATCTCCTCAAAGTAACAGGAGAATGCCACCAGGACCCTCCCATCGCTATCCCTAAACAAACCTCCCCCTCCACTCCTCCCAGGGTTGCCCCTTTGACGGGTATTTTACATACGTGCAAGCTAAAAAATACCGAATTACACCCGTTCACTGCAAGTATACAGATCAACTAGTAGTTTAGGGTATATATCAGGTCGATCCCACAGGGAAGAGTGAACAATTACCGGTCTTACTAAAGCTTCTCTATTATTTAGACTATCAATGAATTATAACAAATTTAACCTACTGAAATTATACAAAATAACAAATGAAAGCTCCTTAGGTTGTGGTATCCCCAACTACTCATGCAAGTGCTATTTTTGGATCATTGAATACTACATCTAGGCTAGTTATGGTGTAATTTCCTTAAACATGTGAAACCTACTTTCGTAGTGAATCAACTATACTCATAACTAATCCATACCTATTTTCATGGTTATGAAATTAGCTACAAGTTCATTTCTTCAATGAAATTACATGAAATGAATCACTAAAAACCACATAAGTGCACCTCTACTTTCGTGAGTGTACTCCCTATGTTTAGCACTTCTTGAACTAGTGTTAAATCTCAATTTTCATTGCAGAAACAACACCTTAGATAATCACAATTAATGGTACCAGATTAATCATGATTTAAAGAGCCAAAGTGCTAAATAACTTGCTCAAATCTTAGCAATCAAATAACCAAATAATAAACACTAACAATCATAGAAAGTTCAACCAAACCCAAGGCTTAAACTTTAAACACACATATTGAACACAAAATCCAGAACTTGTATATTAACTAAACTTGGAATCAAGTACAAAAGATAAAGAGTTTGGAAGGAATGTAACCCTTGTCACATGAGCTTTCATTCCTTGCCTTCTTCATCCTCCATCTTCATCCTAATCTAGCTAATAAACAAGAATGGATGAACTATACTACTCTATACTAAGCTAAACTAACACTAGGAAGATGAAAGAGCTACATTTCTGCAGACTCCAAGCTTCTCCCGTATGTCTCTCTATCTCTTACTCCATCTCCCTCTATCTCCTCTTTCCATTTTGCAATGAATTTGGCTATTTAATGATGAAAGGTGGTCAAGAAATGAAGCTTTACACTTTCTCCTTACAGCTGGTAATGTCTCTCACATGTCTAGCATCACATGTGAGTTGGTGGAGGTGAAATTGAGTTTTACGCGTATAAAGCAGCCTTTTCTGACCAGTGATCCGAGCTGCTACAGTGCCTCGGATCCGTATGGATCCGAGCTCGGATCCACTAACCCAGAAACAGCCGAGGGTTCGGATGAATAGTGGATCCGAGTGTGGATCACTTGCTCTGTTTTTGGCCCAACTTCAACCGATCTTTTCTTGATGTTAGAGGCTGAACCAGCTCATGTGTAAAACACGAAAGTTGTAGCCTTTTGAGTTATCTTTCCAATGCATCAAGAATCACCTCATTTGGATCTGTGTAGGCTGAGATATGACTGAAATACCCTTGTCTGCTCATTGCCCTGTTTCAGCTTCGACCAACAGAAATTAGCTAATGTAATTCGGCTTTTTGATTTTGAAAACCTTCAAACTGGATTCGGATGTCTTCACCAAAGTTGTAGATCTATCTCTTATCTTCAAATGGGTTTAAGAATCATCCCAATCCGATCATTGTAACTCAAGTTATAGCCGAAATACGAAAATGTGTCAAAACTGTCAAAATACACAAAATCCAAGTAAAAAGTGATAAAAACCTCATTTAATTGAACAAAAGCATTTTATACCAATTATAGCCAAAATGAATCATTTTCTTCCAATAATATACCCAAAGTGACTAAAAATAATATAAAATATCATACAATTATTATGTAAATTAGTCACTTATCACCCTTGAACATCCATCTGAGTTTAACTTCACAATCGCTTGCACCGGGCACCTCCATCTAACCTGCACCACATGCACAACACTTCTCCACCCAGCTACTGCATCAAAGAAAGTAGGCCACGATGAACAGGGAGGGCTAATCTCCTGGAATTGAATGCTGAATCTCTCTCGGAGCTCAATAAAAGCTCGGTCACAAACGTGTCTCACAGTCAGCAGCTTCCCCTCAAAAATAAACTTTTTTCTAGCTTTCCATAAATTCCAACAAATCAGTGAGAGCAAAAGTCGAAATACGAAGCTAATATAGGGGCCTCTACAAGATTTTAACCACCAACTCATCACCTTATGCCTTATCGTAAACCCTGCCAACCGACACTTCAAAGAAGTTCCAGACCTGTCTAGCAACCTCACTAGTGCAGAAAATATGATTAAGGTTGGAGGCATGTACATGATCACAGACATACCCAGATAGATATAGCGTGACATGATATCATAATATAAGCAAATTCTAATACAAACTTTATTCAAAATTATTGTTTTATTATTGCTAGGAGGTTAAGTCATCACAATTAATGTACATAAAAACTATGGATGGGGGAGAGAAGAACTAATGTATAGCTTTAATAACGATCATCCCAAGTGAAGAAGCGCAGAGCTTCCCCCGTGGAGGCCAATTGTGTGCTTTGTCCGCCCCAGCATCAGGTGCATGGAGGGGGGTCTCCCCAGGATTCGAACCCTGGTCCTTGTGTATAAGGGTCTTGGGGTTGAAGTCCTGGTACCACTTGGGTTTTTGAAGAAGCGCGGAGCTTCCCCCGTGGAGGCCAATTGTGTGCTTTGTCCGTCCCAGCATCAGGTGCGTGGAGGGGGGCCTCCCCAAGATTCGAACCCTGGTCCTTGTGTATAAGGGTCTTGGGGTTGAAGTCCTGGTACCACTTGGGCTACTCAAGGACCAGGGTTCGAATCCTGGGGAGGCCCCCCTCCACGCACCTGATGCTGGGGCGGACAAATACACAATTGACCTCCACGGGGGAAGCTTCCGAGCTTCTTCAAAAAGGCCGGCCTTTTTTGAAGAAGCTCAGAAGCTTCCCCCGTGGAGGTCAATTGTGTATTTGTCCGCCCCAACATCAGGTGCGTGGAGGGGGGCCTCCCCAGGATTCGAACCCTAGTCCTTGTGTATAAGGGTCTTGGGGTTGAGGTCCTGGTACCACTTGAGCTAGGACCAGGGTTCGAATCCTATGGAGGCCCCCCTCCACGCACCTGATGCTGGGGCAGACAAAGCACACAATTGGCCTCCACGGGGGAAGCTCTGCGCTTCTTCAAAAAAGGCCGGCCTTTTTTGAAGAAGCTCGGAAGCTTCCTCCGTGGAGGCCAATTGTGTGCTTTGTCCGCCCCAGCATCAGGTGCGTGGAGGGGAGCCTCCCCAAGATTCGAACCCTGGTCCCGGTACCACTTGGACTAGTAGCTCAAGTGGTACCAGGACCAGGGTTCGAATCCTGGGGAGGCCCCCCTCCACGCACCTGATGCTGGGGCGGACAAAGCACACAATTGGCCTCCACGGAGGAAGCTTCCGAGCTTCTTCACCAAGCAAAAAGGAGGTGTAGATTTAGCATTACTCACACATATATTTCATAAATAAGTAAAAAGAAATATAGCAAGAAATTCCAATCTTGAAACCATTATTCAGCGCATATTTGTTTTGATACACAACCCCAACTAGAGGAGGGGAAACGAAAAGAAAAAAAAAGGAGATTCGATCACCCTTTCTGCCAGTGTAGTAAAACCCCAAGATTTTACTACTGACCATTGATGTTTTTCGACTTTTATTTTACACAAACAATAGTACATCTCCAGAACTCACGAGGCATTGATAGCGCCAATTCCATGGAAACTTATACCGTACCCAATGTTGTCATCCACAAACAGATATGGAATCCGTAATCATTGCCTTTATATGGGCTTCAATTCTACGTTGATCAGTGAATCCATCTCCACGGTGCTTGTAAACAACTTCGCAAACTCGTGCTAGATTAAGAATCACTTTGAGAATTTCTCTTGGAATGGTAGTAAGCCTTGAGCGTTCCTCGTTCATGATCTTCCAAGTATCCTCACACATCTCTTCAAACTTTTTCATTGCCTCTTCCTCCGACACATTATAATCTTTCATGTAGCATTCAATTGCTGTGCCACTGCCTCTTTCTTTCTCAAACTTGAAATGCAAAGAGTTTAAATAGATCAAAATTTTTGACGTACATAAAATATGGAAACTATATATTATAAAGTGTAACCGAAAAGATTTGATTAAGCCAGAACTACTCATATAATGAGGTTACTAACCATTGATAAATCAATTATTGCATACAAAATGAATAAAACTATTTTTCACTGTATTGATGAAAAGCATATCGAATCTCAATGCATGTGAATATTTTTTGTGAGATTTTGGAGTGAAAATTAAGAAGATCTAGAAGCAAGTATAATCATGAGATGATACTACGACAATTGCGCAATGCAGATAGAAGTTTGATTACTACATGTACATATTTCGTTATAAGTTGGCAAAACAACTAAGAAGACTTGAAGAAATGTGATCATATCGTCACACTATATCAGTGAGTTAATCCATTTCGGAAATTCTATTGTTTTCCTTTGTTTTTTGGAAAGTCTGCTAGTTGGCTTAATCTAATTCTTGTTAACCGATTAAATGCCACAACAAATTCAAACCTTGTGACTGCCAACATCGTTAGTCAATCTGGCATGTGTTGTCAAAGCAACAAAGAGTCTTGGATTAGTTGACATCCATTTGATAACATCCTCTGAGGCACCATCCACGCCCAAGAAAGCTGCTGATGGCAGTAAATAGTACGTGCTGGTGATCATGCCGCTGCTCAAGTAATCAGCAAAAGATGGCAATTTGTTTGTAAGAAACCACTTCGACTGAGTGAAGCTTGTCCTCATGTATTGTTTCCACTAATTAAAACAAATGAATGGATGAAAATATTGGATTAGTAATATGCTCAATCAGGGTATTTAAAATTTCAATGAAAAGTATAATGATAACTTCTATTGGTTTACTGCATCAAAGATTTTGAACGTCTTAATCAAGGCTTTATCATACAACATGCACTGAACTTTTGTAGTAGAAAGTGTCTGAATTTCGACTAATAGGTATATCGGTAAAACTTCACTATGTTTTTTCAGCGCAACAATCGATATAATAGTGCTAAAAAAATAACTTTTTCTCCATGAATTAGTATTGGGGACACTTGAGAAGAATTAAGGTGCAAACCAAGGTGTATTTTAACACAGCCCATCGAATTAAAAGAGTTCAATAAATTAGCAACGTGGTACCATACTTCTTCTATATACTTGTCGAATACAAAGGTTCTTCCCTTTTTAGCTAAATCTTCCTCAAGCTCCTTATTAAAATTTAAAAGCATCGTGTAGGCTGCCTTCAAGTAGTCTGAGAGTTGATCAATTCCATTGCCATCCCACCTGCAAGCAAAGAAAACTTCCTATATCACTGCAAATTGTTATGCAGCATCGATCTGGAGAAATGTATTTAATGTTCTTGAAATGATTTCATTAATTTGCTATCCCGTGATTGGACAGCCACTTGATTGATCTTTTTCTCCTTTTTGAACTTGCAACGATGTAAGGTTAATTTAGGTTAGTAATTGGAGGTCAAATACAGCTATCTTAGGTTAGCTCCACCCGTCTCACTAAAACAATAGTAGTCTAATTTTTAGGGTTGCTTGCTACGTTGAAGCCACTGTACAGAACATGGAGAGGGGAAGGAAGCCACCTATTCTGAACACACAAACCACAATATATCAATTAAGATTTTCACGGTTCTGTCAATCTCTAATTGGATTTCAATGTTTCGTGGACCAATACATATTGTATGAGCTAGCGAAAATTAATCTAATGATTCTGTAATGATTTCTTTAATTTGCTGCTCCTAATTGGGCAGCCGATCAAGTGATTTTTTTTCCTTCTTTTTTCAGTTTGCGGTCTTTATGTCATGTTGATATTTTAAACTACAATTATTCTGGACTGGAACGGTCCTAATTTTTCCTCTTTTAACAAGACATGAAAGCACAAGAAGTTTGAGCAAACACCTTAACCAGTATGACAAAATAGGAGGAGTCGGTATATGCTTACCGTTCTATAGATTCCGTGAAAATTTTGAGTTCATCTAGAGTGCCATAAGCATCATAGGTATCATCAATCATTCCTGCAAAAACTATTGCTTTTGCGAATGTCATTCGAGCAAGAGAGTACTGAGGCTCATAATAGGTTCCAACAGCCCAAAAGTAGCATTCCACAATTCTGTCCCTTGCATATGGAACTTTTGTTACAATGTCCAAGTCCTTCCCCCACCTGTATCGTCATGAATTTAATCAAAAAGGAAAAAGGAAGTTGCACACTGATTAATGTAGCTGTCTAACAAAAAATATGAGAATATACAAAGGCATTTGATGTTTTACTTGGGATAGATATTGGAAAAGAGTGATTGTTAAATCAACTATCTCTTTTGGTAGTTTATCATAAAATTCCTGTAATTCTTAAAATGAAGGTAATTAAAACTTAATTACCGATCCATGAAATTTATAGAGAAAATAATCATTTAAAGGTTTCAAATCAACAAAAAAAATGAATATGCTGGTGTTTCAGGAAACTGCTGTTATTGTACTGTCCTAAAAACTCCAAGTGAACCTATGCATGCACCAAAGATTGTATTATATAAACCTGTGCAGTTAATGTTGCGAACAAATCTTAGATTGGGGAACTGGGGCCTCAATCGATTACCTGATTATCTCAGAAAGTTCTTGTTTATATAACATCTGCAACAAGTGGTAATCCAATTTGGCAAGCCTTAGCAGCAATTTGTTATTAGATTCATCTTTTTCATACATGGAGATGTAGCAATAAGCCTCATATCTTGGGATGCCCTTATGCAATGGCTGTTCAAGGGCATGTTTCACTTGTTTTGCAAGAGTAGAGCCCAAGTGGGGAACTCCAAGTGTCAGATGAGTGGTTGTGAAAGCAAGGGCTTCTTCTAAAATTTTGTCTCCATTTGCTCTGATGTGAGCAGCTTCATACAGACTTAGCAGACCCCTTATGTCTTCACATAAGGATTCCTTAAACTTACCATTATCATCAATGAATTGGTCCAAGATGCCTGTATAGAAAAACTATTTATTGCTTTTTCTATATAGTTTAGTTCAAACTTTTGAAGCAATGAATTTAGCAAGAAAGTTGTGTACCACAGGAGATATTAAAACCATGTTGCCTGAATAGTCGGAATTGAAGTGCTGCAGTCAATAAATCACACTCTGGATGCTCCTGAAAGTTGGGATAAGTATCAAAAAGTTCTTGTAGTTGGTGCTCAATCTTGTCCTCAAAATAATGTGAGATGCCAAGCCGTTCAATTTTGTCTATAACATCGAATTTTTCCATCATGGGTTTTTCAGTTTCCAAAAGCATGCTCATCACTTCTTCCTTTAACATTTCAATTTCTTTGGCATACATTTCATATCCCTGAAATGAAAATATTTCTTCATTGAGTTTGTCAAATAAACATCCCAAAGTTTCTTATGAAATCCAGAATTCTTAGCAAGTAAACAGTATTGAACAAATGCTTACTTATAAAGCTTGGTGTGGAATGCAACGAAGACTAAAGTTGAGGAATTTTAATACATTTAGAGCCAAGAACTCAAGTAATTACAGGGAAAACAAAATAAGAGGTCAGTGTCAAGTTGTGGTAATAGGAAAGGAAATATAACTCTAGTACTCCAGGAAACATTATGTACATATATGTATGAAACTAGAGATTTCATGAAGGCATAATCATATCCGCATTGATGGCATCAATTACAAAGGGATCAAATAAGAACGTTTTGCAAACAAATTTGCCACATAAATCATCTTTGATCCAAGTATATATGCAACTTACTTTTCCCTTAGGAAAAGGAAAAATAACCTGCTTATCCAGAGTAAATGAAGCGATACGATCGGTCCAAATGTTTTCAGGGAAGTCTGCTAATTGGCGGACGATCTCATGCTGATTGTTTAAGGGGCCAGCAGTTTCAGCTGAGGCCATTTTGTTGGGGCAAATTAGGAGAAACTTGAGCTTAACCAGTGTTATCAATTCTGACCACCTTGATGATCAGCCAGAGGAATCCAAATGCGTATTTATAGACCCAGGAACTCGAGTAAATTACACATTAAGGGCTGCGCAAGTTACTCAAGAACTCAAGCTACTCTTTTAAATAAGAGTATAAGATTACCATAAATCAATCTGCATTTGTTACAAATATATTACATTTATTAACATCAACTGTTAATGTGGCGTTGTCCCACATCGGCTTTTGTATAAGGGAACATTTCCCTTAGTTGCCTATAAATATAGTGGGCCTGTGATGGGGTTAAGTGCACCAAAACCAAGAGAGCATTAGTGGGCTATTTGGGCCTTTCGGCCATTAAGCCTTTTATTTAGTTAAATATCTTTGGACTCTCTTGTGTTTTTAGTATTAGGTGTTTTAGGCTTAGGAACACCTTCCTAAGGCATCTTTTGTACTCTCTTTTTCATAGTAAAACATTGCTCCTCCTTCACCCGTGGACGTAGGTCAATTTGATCGAACCACATAAATTCTTGTGTTCCTGTTTTATTTATTTCTGCTTTGTTATTTGTCTTTTGGAGTTGCCAAAAATCCTTTCGTCAATTTCCTGGGGCTAGACCTAACAAACTGGTATCAGAGCCTCTTCGGAGGCTTTGGATTTTGTGGCAACAATGACAATAACAAAGACTGTCGTCGAGAAATTCGACAGGAATGTCAATTTCGGGATGTGGCAGCTCAAGATGGAGGCCATTTTGGTTCAAGACGAAGTTGATCTAGCGATACACGGAATTGAGAAAAAGCCAGAGAGTGTGACAGAAGCAAATTTTGCTGAGATGGATAAGTGATAAGTGACTAATTTACGTAATAATTGTATGATATTTTATATTATTTTTAGTTACTTTGGGTATATTATTGGAAGAAAATGATTCATTTTGGTTATAATTGGTATAAAATGCTTTTGTTCAATTAAATGAGGTTTTTATCACTTTTTACTTGGATTTTGTGTATTTTGACAGTTTTGACACATTTTCGTATTTTGGCTATAACTTGAGCTACAATGATCGGATTGGGATGATTCTTGAACCCATTTGAAGATAAGAGATAGATCTACAACTTTGGTGAAGACATCCGAATCCAGTTTGAAGGTTTTCCAGGTCAAAAAAGCCGAAGTACAGAGTCAATTGCTATTGGTCGAAACTGGAACAAGGCATGGAGCAGGCAAGGGTATTTCAGTCATATCTCAGCCTACACAAATCCAAATGAGGTGATTCTTGATGCATTGGAAAGATAAATCAAAAGGCTACAACTTTCGTGTTTTAGGCATGAGCTGGTTCAGCCTCTAACATCAAGAAAAGATCGGTTGAAGTTGGGCCAAAAACAGAGCAAGTGATCCACACTCGGATCCACTATTCATCCGAACCCTCGGCTGTTTCTGGGTTAGTGGATCCGAGCTCGGATCCATACGGATCCGAGGCACTGTAGAAGCTCGGATCACTGGTCAGAAAAGTCTGCTTTATACGCGTAAAACTCAATTTCACCTCCACCAACTCACATGTGATGCTAGACATGTGAGAAACATTCCCAGCTGTAAAAGGGAGTTGAAAACATCATTTCTTGACCAACCTTTCATCATTAAATAGCCAAATTCATTGCAAAATGCAGAAGAGGGGGATGATAGAGTAAGAGATAGAGAGACATACGGGAGAAGCTTGGAGTCTGCAGAAATGTAGCTCTTTCATCTTCCTAGTATTAGTTTAGCTTAGTATAGAGTAGTGTAGCTTTTCCATTCTTATTTATTATCTAGATTTGGATGAAGATGGAGGATGAAGAAGGCAAGGAAGAAAGCTCATGTGACAAGGGTTGTATTCCTTCCAAACTCTTTATCTTTTGTATTTGATTCCAAGTTTAGTTAATATACAAGTTCTGGATTTTGTGTTATTTATGTGTCTCTAAAGTTTATGCCTTGGGTTTGGTTGAACTGTCTATGATTGTTAGTGTTTATTATTTGGTTATTTGATTGCTATGATTTGAGAAAGTTATTTAGCACTTTGGCTTCTTAAATCATGATTAATCTGGTACCATTGATTGTGATTATCTAAGGTGTTGTTTCTGCAATGAAAATTGAGATTTAACACTAGTTCAAGAAGTGCTAAACATAGGGAGTACACTCACGAAAGTAGAGGTGCACTTATGTGGTTTTTAGTGATTCATTTCATGTAATTTCATTGAAGAAATGAACTTGTAGCTAATTTCATAACCATGAAAATAGGTATGGATTAGTTATGAGTATAATTGATTCACTACGAAAGTAGGATTCAAATGCATAAGGAAATTACACCATAATTAGCCTAAATGTAGTATTCAATGATCCAAATGTAGCACTTGCATGAGTAGTTAGGGATACCACAACCTAAGGAGCTTTTATTTGTTATTTTGTATAATTTCAGTAGGTTAAATTTCTTATAATTCATTGATAGTCTAAATAATAGAGAAGCTTTAGTAATACCAGTAATTGTTCACTCTTCCCTGTGGGATCGACCCGATATATACCCTAAACTACTAGTTGACCTGTATACTTGCAGTGAACGGGTGTAATTCGGTTTTTTAACTTGTACGTATGTAAAATACCCGTCAAGTTTTTGGCGCCGTTGCCGGGGAAGATTTGGCAATATCGGTGTGAAGAGCAATTTTATTAGTTTAGACATAATATTAGTTATAATGTGAATGTTATTTTCTGTTATTTTTGTATTTTATGTGTATGTGTTTCATTACCTATTTTTCTTACTAATTTTGCTTTTGAGGTTGTTTAAAAGCAATTTTAGCTAATGAGAAGGGTAGGTCAATTTGGAGGACAATGCTTGAGAAGTGGAAGATTGGCAATGGATGGTTACCAAGTGCAAAGCTCCTTCAACAGAGGTAACCAAGAATTTACTGAATGTATGTCTTTTGAAGATGGTTTAAGGTGCTTAAAGGATAAATTTGATGTTATGATATTACAAGTTCAAATGGACGCAATTATGCATGAAATTGGGCAAGGGAGGAATGTTAATGCTTTTAATTCTTATCATGTGATTTGTGACTTGTGTGGAGGTTATCATGCTACTAATACATGTATGCAAGCACAAAATGTGGATTATTATGATGAATTAGAGCATTACAATCCTTGTTTTGATCAATATAGTGCTAATTAGAGCAATTCTCCTGCTTATGGTTGGGATGATCAATGTACTTATAGTGATTATTCATGTTTTTATGATTAGCAACCTGGAAGTGTCCAATATGAATCAAAACCATCTTGGGAGTTGGCAATAGAGAAGTTAGCTAATGCACCTCTGCCTTGGGAGTTAGAAAGTGAACCATTAGCTAATGATTCTAATGTATCTTGGGAGCTAGCTGTAGAAAATTTTTCTAATCAATTTGATTTAGCATTAGAAAAGCTAGCAAATGTAACTTCCAACCGTTTTGATAGGATTGAGGAAAGAATAGATGAATTAGCTTCTCACTTTGGTCGAATACATGAGCAATTGAGTGCATTGTGTGAAGTTATTTCCTCTAATAATGTGCAAAATGATCCTAGCATGAATGGTGGGAATGTTGTATGTGAAAATGGGTTGCATTTTGATGAAAATGATGAATCTCAATTGTGTTTCAATGAGCAAATGTCCATTTCACATGATAATATCTTTGGAACTAACTTTGAACCTCAAGAGGTGAGTTTTAATGACTCATTTTTCACCCCTCTTGAGGAGTGCATTGAAAGTATAGGTTCTAAAGGTATTCCTGCCCAAGATACTCTCATGACATTTCCTTTGGTAAGTTCTCAAGTGGTGTATATTCAAGGTAATATCTATGAAACACTTGGAATATGTCAGTCACTTCCATTTCTCACATCATTAGTTCATGTGGCTTTTTCTATTAAGTCACCTTTTAATGATCCACCACGGCCTAAAATGGTGGATTATTCGTTAACTAAGCCTCCTTGAAAAATGAGGTGATATAGTCAAGCTATTGACTTTAAAGAAGCGCTTATTGGGAGGCAACCCAATGCTTGTTTAAGTTGGTGTTACTTTGGAGTGATTTTATGTTTAAAGTATAAGTTTGAGTAATTTTGTTGTTTTTCATTTGTAGGTTTTGGAAAAGTGACCAAATGAGGTGAAAAGGCGAAGTTTGATCAAAGATCTCAATACCTCAAATTCAGTAATTATGATTTTTGATGCATTAAAGAGGTTTAGAATGCATGTTTAGATCATTTTACATGTGCGTGAATGGTTTATTTTGACATAGAAATGATCTAAGGTGTATTTTGAAGAATTGAGGTCAAACTGAAAATTGCAAAAATTCTGCAATAAGTGCAGATTTAATGGATCCAAGGCCTCGGATCCATATGGATCCAAGGCCTCGGATCCACTTCTGCAATCAGAGAAAACTTCGAGCTTCTGGATCCAAGCTCGGATCCATATGGATCCAAGGCCTCGGATCCACTTCTGCAATCAGAAAAAAATTCGAACTTCTTGATCCGAGCTCACTTATCATGATCCGACCTCGGATCCTTTCAAAAACGACCTCGGATCCTTTCCAAAACGAAACCTCGGACCACTTTTCCTCATTCTTCCCTCTTTTTCCTCCTTCAACTCCACTTTTCTTCTTGTTGGTTGCAAGCTTTTATTCTTAAGAATTGTATTTTTTTTTTCAAGGTGCATTAATTGAAGTCTCCATTCTTTCAAGTAAAGTTGGAAATTCATCACATTACCATGGATTCGGATCGCGCAAGTTCATTGGGGGAGTATTACTTTCTCTTATTTTTGTTATTTTTCCTTTCTCACATTGAGGACAATGTGAAGTTTAAGTGTGGGGGAGGAAAATATTTGAACTTGCATTTACTTGCTATGTGATGATATTTTGTGAATTTAAATGCTTAGAAATGTTGGAATTGTGTTTGAATTATTTGCCATGTGGATAATTTGATTGAAATTGGGTTTGT